CGTTACAACAGAGGCGTGAATAACTATAGATGAAAGATACAGTAATCGCGTCGAGAAGAATTTATATTTTCCATATTATATTGTTTCGCGAACAACCGAGAAGTATATTAAAATGTAAACGATCGTAAACAATTATTAATACATAAAAAATAAAAAAAATGCACATAATATATATCTAAAACAATAATAATTAGTTGTAGGTAGTCAATGCTGATTAGATTAAACGTGTTTTAAAATTCGATTTCGGGTCCTAGACATTATTAAACGCGTCGTTCCCACAATAGCCGTGCCATCGTTTATAATATATATTACTATTTCGTATCGTACAGATAGATAGTAAATATATATGTATAAAATATATTCGTACGGCTAAGTCGCGGGACGAGTACGGCAAGAGAGGGGAAGGGGAGTCAAGAGACGGCGAGAAAAGGGTCGAGGAAGGATAAAAGCGATGTACACATGGTGATATTTCAATAATGATACATAACAATATAATAGATGTACAATATTATTTACATTAGTACGCGCGTATTGTAACGTACATCCTTACCCACAGTTTTACACGCAGGGACGAACATATAAACGCGTACAGACTATAATTATTTTCGGCCTATTCCGCGTAATCCTCGAAATTATACGCGCGTATATACTCGGACGATCTCGAACTCGAAGACCTAGGATCAACCTATATAAATATATACATACATGTATATATATATATATATATATATATATATATATACATGTTTAAGGATCGCTGGAGCACGGACAGACCCCCGGCTGAACGCCCGTAATCGATTCTCGTCGTCACCGACTGCTGCAGATCCGTGCGTGACCACGGACGTTTTTCCGTCGTCTGCCCGTTGTTAAACAAACCGTATGCGCCGCGCGGTAGGCCGAATTATAATAGTAATAACAATAATAATCGTAGTAGTAGTAGTATTAGTAGTAGTAGTAGTAGTAGTAGTAGTAGTAGTAGTAGTAGTACCGGTAAAGTATTACAACGTGTACAGGCGTATAAAGTAGCCGTCGGAATATCGAGAATATAGGCAGGTAAGTTGTACGACGGATAGTGTATCTTACGACGTCCAAGCGTTATTAAAAACAAAAAACAAAAAAAAAAAAAACTTAATTTTTTTTCCTTTTCCTTTTTCCGGTTCGTACGCGTTTTAATTCCAATGAGCGGCCGAAAACGGGATAAAAAAAAAACTCCCACGATTCTTTTATGAATGAAAAATGAAACGACGCGCGCGCTATAGGAAACAAACACATATACGTACATATATATATATATATATACACGATGATTTACCTATAGTTATTATAATATACAGTATTGGAAGTAAAAAAAATTAAAAAAATTAAACGTCGTATCTATAATATATATATATATATATATACAAACACGTATAAATACTACATATACTCATGGAGGGGAATGTGAATCGGTTTTCCGGAGAGCTGTTTCTCGGTTTCACGTCGCGTAATACACGCGCGCGCGCGTTATAATAGTGCTGGTGGCGTCGACGTTTCATGAATGAAAACCGTCAAGTCATCACCGCTAAACATTTATACACTAACGTATACACGTTTAATTATGTATATATCTGTATCTATAATTTTTTTTTTTAATGTTATTATTATTTTTATTCTATTGTTGTGCGTTCGGTGTTAAGCGAAAAAAAATTGTGTCGTTTATTTTGTTTTACGGAAACACCGGAAACTGTGGAAAATTATCCCGCTCGATACAGAACGTACACCTATGCACTTGAAAACGGATCTGAAATAACGCTTTTCACGCAGCAAAACGTCTCGGTTTTGAACACGTTTCGTCTTCTGACGACAAAATCCGGGTCTGTACGGCGGGCGAATCGTGTTAAAACACTCGCTGCAGCGCCGCACCCGTCCGAGAAGCATGTGAAAGCGAAACACAATGTCGGTGGTGGATCGAATTTTACGCGTATTACAATATAAAACTGGTATTAAAATTTAAAAAATATCGCGGTGGGAATTCTTCGGTCGCTACTATTTATAATACGCGTACTATTGTTGTCTCCGTTCGTCGCCGAAATTGATTGATTTATGAATATTATTATAATTCCACAAATTCCCCGGGTCCGCTCTCGCTGGACATGTAAATTTATGTCACTGCGGAGTCCCCGTCCGTAACAATCGATTCGATTTTTTTTTCTCTTTGTACACATACGCGCAATCATTATAATACTATTATACAATTTTATCAGTTCGGTCGGTTTGTTTAGAGCAATATATATATATATATATTTATCATACGTGCGCATGCATGTACGTACGTACGTATATGTTTAAGAGTATCTCTCGGAGCAATGCAGTATAGTTTAGTATACATTACAATATAATAATATACGCATCGACTATACACCTATATATGTATACACCACTTAACCCGAAACAAGACGACGCAAAACAAAAAACTCGGATAAATCGCCAGCCAATTAACTAGCTGTACGTATCGGAGCTACCTGTATGTTATACGTATATTTCGATCGCGGTATGTATACCACCTATAAACTATACTATATCGATAAAACGAAGAAAAAAAAATAAGGAGAAACCAAAAACAGCAGTAAGGAAACGAAGACATATTATAAACGTTGGGATATATGACGTGCAGCAGCAGCAACATATAATACGCACACACACACACATGTATATATAATACAACGTCAGTGTATATGGTTTGTAATAAAGACCGATGGCCATCCCTTTCACGCAGGACCCCGGTAACCTATATATATTTATATAAATATATGTACTCGTACGGGTACGTGTATGGCACACACGCACACACATACGCGCGGTTATAGTGACCGGTCGCGCGCGTTATCCATAAAAGTCTGCAAAAAAAAAAAAAAAAAAACGAGCCCGGTGGGAAAACTTTCGTCCCCATCAAATATATATATATTTTACGGAGTGAGGAGGTAACAGAGGGAGAGAGAGAGAGAGAGAAAGAGTGATCTCAACATCCGAAAACCAGCAGAAACAGTAGCAACCCTGTGAACGAATTGTATACTACCGCAAACTTCATGTGCCGGAACACAGCGAAATCAGAATAATATACACGAGGTGCGCACACTCCTATGGCCTTGTACATGCGTGGTGTGCGTGTGCGAACAGGAGGCGAACGAAATAAAGTCATCGTCGCGGCGATGGAGGCGCACATACCCCTGGGACGAATAACACAAATAGGACCTATACACACTCCGCTCTGTATACGGATGTAATAGTAGTAACAACGGGGCAGTATAGTAGTTTTCATGGATTTACTCAACGGGTCCAAGTCGTAATTCTCGTGTCTTCTCTCCGTCGAATGTACATACCCACATATTATATACACACACACACACACACAGCTTATATACGTATGTTTATACATACACGAGTGTGTTATGTTATGAGATTTGTGTATATAGTGTTGCGACGCACCCGGGGTAGTGGTCATGACGACTTTTATTATTATAACTCCAAACCTCTGGTTTATTATTATGTGTCATCGCTACGGAGAGCGTAAAGAACACATAAAACAAAAACTGAAAACGGTTTTTCACATATATTCAAAGAGCGTATAATAAAAACGTATATTATTATATGCTCGCGGGACAAGAGTGCGTATTTTATACTTGAAACAATTTCCCATCGTAATATTGTAGTTGCAGGGGTCGGTAGAAAAAAAACCAACATAATAGTGCAATGAGTACATCTATGAGCACGTAGTTTGTGTGCAAAGTGCAATGCATACAAAAATCGAGGACCGAATAATCGTTAAACGTTCGATTTAATAAAATTATCACCGATTGTACTTGTAGGTAACGAATAAATTAGTTTTAAGCAATGAGCTATTGATTTTAAGCGGTTTTAATCAGATTTTTTTGTTAAATTACTTTACACAGAAAAGTGCACCGGAACTACTCAACTTTTGGAACAATATTTTATCGTTTTCCAGTTTTAATTAATCAAAACGCAGTGAAAACAACCGTATATATACGTACTCGTGTACACTAAAATGTTAGACAAAAACTTTTGTTGCAACCGTCGTGTTTCAGACACGAAAACAATTCTATTATATTATTTATAAATATGCAAAAAAAGTTATTCCGTTAAATGTATTTGTAAGTTCCAGTCATCAGAGAGTGATAAATGTGTGAGGGTTGGTAAATTAATCGAAAGAGTTAGTGATGTAAAAGATGAATAAGTAAAAATTATTAAAATGTTTTTTGTCCGCGTCGTATTATATTAGATACGTAAATGCATTTTAATTGAATTAAGAAATAAAATAGTTACGGGAATATGTTATTAATATTATAACGTGTTTATAAAAACCATATTTATACGTAACAAACAAAATGTTTGACTGTCGTGAACCTAATCAAATAAAATTCTCAAATCTATATCGCAAAAACAGAATTGTCGATTAATAATAAACGTAACTCGATTGTTGTAATAAAATAATACGCGAGAGCAATTTTTCAGAGGTCGTTTTTCGTTTTTTCGTTAACGAATTCGGTTACAGAAACTATATTGCTTACGTTGACGTAGCTACCGAAAACGTACTCGAAACCCGTGGTAAAACTCATAGGTCCTATCAGTGATCCATAAAAGTCTAGCACAACATAAAAATAAAACGTCTATCGCGTATTTTGTCCTGCCCGGTCGACCTGCACTCATCGTGCCCGAACAGTAAAATACGTACACATACGTACGCAGCAGATACACACGTAACATACACACGCACACGCACGCACGCGAAAAAAAACAATACGTTTTGCGCGCGGGAAAAACGTTGGCCGTTCAAAACAAGACCGCGGTCGCGCGAACGAGCGTATGAAATCGAAAGTTGTTCGCAAAAGTCCGGAAAACCGTACAACGAGTGCGGTTTCTGCGGTGGCCGCGGACTTGCCGCCGGGAGTACGGGGGCGGCGGCGGCGGGGGGGGGGAGATGGGACAAACGTGTGGGTACTCACCGTCGTCGAATCGGCGAGTGGACGTGGATACGTGGTGCCCGTTGACGACGACGACGACCGCGCCCGGTTCGCCGTGGTGCGAGACGCCGTCGGCGCACTCTTCCTCGTCCTCGAGGACCTTGACCGGTCTGGACTGCTTTCTGCGGGACATGCGGACTGCGGTGCTGTTGCGCGGCGGCGGCGGGAACGTGCGGCGGGACGGTCCGCTCTGGTCGACCGGCGTCTTCGGGCCCTTCGCCCGCGGGTTCGACGGCGTTGCAGCTGGCGCCCGACCACCACCAAGACGCGCGCGCGTTACCGACGGTGATGCGTTACGTCTGCGGTGGCACTACGAGTCGGATCCGACGGCGGCGGCATCGGACTCGTCGCCGGTGCACCGGGAACCCATTAAGTCGGGGAACGCACCTGTACCGCCGGCGCCGGGATGTGCTCTGGACGACGACTGCACGCCGCTGCTTGGCGCTGTCCGGCGGAGGCGACGTAGTTCCGTGCGCGTTGACCGTGGTGCGAGGTTTAAAAATTTGAAGAAAAAAAAAAAAAACTGTCTCGATAAAAGTTATTAAACGAATTTTTTTTTTTTTTTTGTAATATTTATTTATGGTTTCGCGAGAGAGAAAAAAAAAAAACTATAATAATGATCGCGTCGCGATCAGTCCACCGTTGTTCGCACGATCGGTACCGTACGATAACGATTACAATTATACGATATCCGCGACCACGTTTGTCGTGTGTTGGCACGGCGTAGTTGCGCAGCTCTGCACGGCGGTG